CACGGAGGGTTCCTGTGAGTCAGAACTCATTTGACAGCAACTGGGAAAGTGTTTGGCTGTTAATGATAAAGTCAGCAGTTCAAAACCACCAGCCATTCTGCGAGAAAGATGTACAGCCTGGGAAACCCTACGAGCAGGTCTACTCTGCCCACCGGGGTCACTTTGAGTTGCAGTCAACTTGATGGCAGGGAGTTCAATTTGTTTGGCTTTTGCCTGCTTTCTGGCTCTTAACCATCCCCTTTACAGAAGTCACTGCTAGCTGAGACAAATGGCATCATCCTCGGGTTTTTCTCATGATCTCCCCGGTACACTTAATAATAGTAGGTCTTGACACCACTCTCCCTGGGTTTTCTTCTCGCAACTCGCCCCCTCATTTTCAGATGATGACTGCATATCCTACTTTTGAAACAGATTCCTAATTTACACTGACCACCCAGTAGCTGGAAACAAATGAGAAAAAAGCCCTGGCAAGCGTCCAACACTTGTTCTTGGCTTATCCCAAGGTCTAGGAACATCCCTATCCTTGAGTTTCATAAGGCAACCTCGTGTTCTCAGAATAACTCGGCCCTGTTTTTATGTCACCACCGTTGGTTTCTCATCACTTTGCTGAAAGCAGTTGGAGAGAATGGAGGGAGCTCTGTCAGTTCTTAAGAACTGGCTAGTCAACAGGTTCAGTGAACCTAAAATCGCCAAACCTCTTTGCTGCATACACACAGCGGAGCACTGCACCACGTGAAGGGAAGGGTGGTGTACCTGTGAAACTTCTGACAGGGAGGGGATTGTACTCAGTAGCCAATCACAAAGGAGTAAACATTGTCGAAGACCATTATTTTTTTTTTAAAAAAAAAGGTTTTTCAAGGCCAAGGACACAGACTTTGATGGCTACCAGAGGTGGTAGGGGCAGGGTGGGAAGAGCCAATAACAGAATGGAGGGTAGCAGGTTAATTAACTTGGGTGAAGGGGAAGATAATATCCAAGAGAGAGATAGGAAAAAAGAAGGGGGAAATAGAAAGAGGGAATCAGGGCAAACCACTGAGAGATTTGATAAGCTGTTAAATGCAAAAATAAAGATCTGTACACTCCCACTGAATTCAC